AGCGGGAGTGGGGAGCCCCGAGCCGTGCCAGCCCTGGCCGCACCCAGCCACGGGCGCTGCCTCAGGGCGTTGCCCCGCTCGCGGCTGCGAGCAGAGGGTGTTGGCCCGTGGAAACAGCTCTGAATTCACCTTTCCTAGGAAAGGCGGAAACCTCCTGTCTGAGCATCCGACACAGCCACCTGCGGCTCCCAGGGGTGGGGTGGGGTGGGGTGGGGGTCACGTCTGCAGCTGACACTGGAAAATGTGAGCCGCCTGGCACGCCTCCCTGCACACACTGCCGCACCCCAGCACAGGCACATGCGTAATGTTGCACATGGCTCCACACTCCTAGCGGCCTTTCATAGCTGCCGCACAAGCGTGCAGTCCCACCCCTTGGGGTCACTCAGCACACGCATGTTGCCACCCGTGTATGTGCACAGAGCCAGTCATGCCAGCACACGGGCCAACGGTGAGGGAAGAGCAGGGCAGGGGCTGGCAGATGGATGACAGACGTGGTTTGCAGGTGGCCCTGGGCTCTGCATCTCCGCGTGTGGCTGCATGAAGGGCCCTTGCACTGGCCTGTGTGCGCTGGTCATGGCCTGGGGCACGGGTGCATTCGGCTTGCAGGACACACCTCGGCCCTGAGGAATGCGCTGAACCAGCTCCGCCAGTGGACGTGCTGGCCGGGGGCTGGGGCGCGGGTCTGACCCTACGCAGCCCCTTGGTCTGCCCCCCACATGCAGCACCAGTCACTGGTGTGCACACGCATGTACCCCTGCGCACGGACCTGCACACTGCTCCGGCATGGTGGCATGCTGGCATGGGCACACCCAGGCTGCACACATGCATATGACTGTGCACGTGCGCGCGCACACACACACACACACACACACACACACACACACATGCAAGAGGGGCCAGGCACATCCACATGTGAATATGCAAACACGTGCACACACTGGCTGGCCACAGGCTATGGAGATGCTGACACGCTCCTGCCCTACCCCACCAACCACACACGCGCATGCACACACACACGCACACATGTACACACAGATGCACACGCGCGCACACACAAGCATGCACACCCCCCCACCAGGGCATCCGCAGCTCCCTGGGGCCCATTACCAAGCGCTGCGCCTGAGCATCAATCCTGGGGCCCGCGCCCACACAGGTGGCACCAGGGTGGCAGAGAGCAGCCGTGCTCGGGGCCGTGCGCCCGCTGTGGCTGGGCCCAGGCTGCAGGGGCTGAGTGCAGGGTCCCGGCTCCTTGCGCAGCCCTGGCACTCACTGAGATCTGCCAGCGAGGGCGCGGGGCTGGGTGCACGCTGGGGGACACTGTGCCCTGCCCCTGTGCACCGCACAGACACCTGCCCCACCGGGGCCAGGATCCCACTGCCCGGCTGCTGCTGGGAGCCCAGCTCTGCCCAGCAGGACTCTCTTCCCACCGTCCCCGGGGCAGAGGGGCCAGCACTGACGCGTGGGCATGAGCCACTGCCAGTGCCCCCCCCGACAGGTGCAGCTGCTGACCCCGGGGGCACTGGCAGGGGGGG